GTATAAAATGAAGGAATGAGACTTTGTCAAATGTCTCTTCTAATGCTGACAATTTCTCCTGACTGTATCTTGGTTCTTAACCTAAAAGAACATCACTTTGTTTTCTATAAGGAGGTGTTGGAAATTGTTTAATGAATGAAAAAGACTAGGGGTCATTTCTTTTCTTCTCTTTCCTATTTTCTTAATCCTCATTGCTATGGATATATTCATTTAAACTAATATATGAACTGAAATCTTATAGTAAGATGATAAATAATTTTAATAACTTGGAAATTACTGTTCCTTTCCTACAAAAATAAAATAGAATACTGGGCTCTTAATGGTTAAGAAGACCCATGAAATGTAGGGTGGAGGGGGTGTGCTTAGTGAAAGAGCAGTTGCCTAGTATGTGCAAGACCCTGGGTTGATCACCAGCACTGAAAGAGAGAGAGAGAGAGAGAGAGAGAGAGAGAATATCATATAGGATATCTAGCCCAACTTTCCAATGATGGAGAACTGTGTAATAGGGAGTCCCTTAAGTTTTGCCTTCTAACCATGGCTTAAACATTTGTAGTAAAAAGGTGCTTGGTGTTTTGTGGATTTAGCCCGTTTTGTTGTTGGATAGCAAAGTACCAGGGCTATAGAAGTACTCAAATATTATTCCAGGTTCTTCCCTGGAAACACAGTAACATCTTTAGCATGGCTGGATATACTCCTAGATAATTAATAACCCTGCAGCCATTCAAATGTAGCTGCCATAGCTAACCTCCTCCCCCTCCTCCCCACCCCAAGCCTTTTTATTTCAAGCTAAAAAGCTCAGTCCTTTATTTGATGTTTTCCATAATCTTTACTATCCAGATTCCTGTATATTGAATGAATTTTAGCTTATCAACATCCTCTTTAAAATGTGATGAAAAAAATAACAAAAATATGAAATGTAAAATATTCCAATCAACTCATTATTTTTGCCTGTATATTGAATTAAAATCAGGAAGACTAGGTAGTCACTCCTTCAACTAAATGTTTATTGCACAAATTCTCTTAGCACCAGAAAGTGTTCTGCTGGCTCTGCCTTTCCACATCCCTGTATCTCTAATTATCAAATACATCCAAGAAAGTCAGCTCTCTATTTCTTGAAATGGTGACATGGATTTCATTTAAATTATTAGGGTCACTGTCAGCTAATACTGGGCAGGTTACCCATTTCTTTTGTTCTTTCTTTTTCTTTCCTTTTCTTTCTTTTTTTTGTTTTTAATTTCCTTGTAGTACTGGGGATTGAACCCAGGAGCACTCTACTACTGAGCTACATGCCTGCTCTTTTTATTTCTTATTTTGAAACAGGGTCTCACTGGGTTGCTCAGGATGGCCTTGAACTTGCAATTCCTCTGCCTCAGCCTTCCAAGTCATTGAGATTACTGGCATGTACCACCATGCTGAACTCCATTTCTTATGTTCTTATGTGTGCAGGAATATTAGCAAGAATCTCTTTCTGAGAATCTATGAAATGAAGTCTATCAGAAGCAAAACATTAGTGACAAATATGGGGGGGGGAATATTATATTTGGGATTCAATGTGGGATGACTTGCCTATCTTAGCTATTTGAAGATGCGTTTGTCACTCCAAAATCAAATTTATGTGTCTTCCTGTAATATATTATAATGAATATAGTTTTGTCAGATCTTCACCATGAAGTGAAACTGAGTTGAGGCAAAAGCCTGGGTAATTCAGACAAAATACCTTTTCAGCCTATGGAGGCTTTGATCAGCATTGAAGGCCAAAAACAAAAAGTGCTGTCATGTTACATTAAATTGAGACTAAATTGTATCTATCCTCTACCATCATCACTAACCCCTTATATTAAAAAAGAAGGAGAGATGGGACTGAGAGAAGTTTGCTATTGGATTATTTGTCACCAATCTCAGGGTTTTTTTGTTTTTGTTTTTTCTTCGTGAGAGAACCATGCCTTGGTTAGCAAGGCCAGTGTTGCAATTTGTACTCTTCCCTTCCCTTTCATTCCAGCCAGGAACAGCCATCCATAAAGAGACCAGGATGAGGGGACCAACCATCTTCCTATTCTTAGTTCTCAAGAATTAAACCTGGACTCCAGGACTCATTCTGCCTCCAATCAGGTAGAGCTGTGTTTATGCTAACAGTGTTTCCGATTTGCCTGCTTTTTTTCAAAACAAAAGGTTATGAAATACATTTATGTGATAACCATTATTATCCAAAGTTCAGGTATGAAGACATGAATTGGCGTGAATATACTGTGTATACAACCAGAGATATGAAAAATTGTGCTCTATATGTGTAATAAGAATTGTAATGCATTCTGCTGTCATATATAAATTTTTAAAAAATTTTAAAAAAGAAATAAATTTATTCTGCTCTGTATGGACCCAGAAAAAGCCCTGGTCTCTTGTGAAGACCAGAGAAGGAAAAAAATTAGTGCCTGGTACTTTTGAGTCTGTATCCATCATCTAATTTAACACACACACACACATACACACACACACATACACATACATACACTACATCCTTCCCCAAATATACAACAGTACTACTCACTTTAAAGATTCTTCTTAAATCCCATTAGTGGTTGTTCTTCCTGGGATTAGAAGAATTTGGTATTTTTCCCTTGCCTCCATGTTCTTGTATATTTACTTTCCCTTCCAGGTTACCCCGACATTCTTATTCATGAAACACTTATTTCCTCTCAAACCAAGTCTTTTGTTTTATTGTAAAGCATTTGCTATAAGTAAATCCTTCTTTAAATGGTACTGTCAGGCTGAGGATATGGCTCAGTGGTAGAGCACCTGGCTAGCAGGCAGGAGGCCCTGGTTTGTCCCCAGCAAAACACAAACACACAGGGTGGGGGAGAAAGGGTCCTGTCATTAACTGAACAGAGATGGAAGGAAGATATCTAAGCCTGAATTTGCTTTTAATAGCCACATCTACAGGATCTAAAGAAATGAGAGTAGTGTTCTTATGAAGTGAGGCAAAATGCCAACTGATTCATTGTTACCAGAAGACAATGAAGTGCATGAGAAAAGAAGGGAAGGAGGGGGTTAGAGGAGATATTTTTCCCTCTTTGGCTCTTAGCTAGCCCACATTTCATGGATAAATTCTTCAATCTTGTCAAACCTCAATTTCCTCATCTGTGAAAGGGGAACATAATGCTGATCATATGTAACTTACAAGTTTTCGGATTGATTCCAGAACACTATATGGCGTTTATATTTTAGAAATAGTAATTTTGCCTCCTAAATGATACAGATTGGGTAAATCTCTCACTCTGGCACTCATCGTTGCCTTATATAATGTTTTCTCAATAACACTATTGTTGTTTGTATTCAAGCCTATTGCCACATTGATAGGATCATAGAACTTAGACCCAAAAGGATCTTTAGGATTAAAAGTAACCCAAGCTCACCCCACTGTAGTCTATATACTGTTATTCGTCATTGGAACCCGACCAGCCACAGTCACTCTTTTCCAGTCTTCCTGGGCTCACATGCGTAAAGATACAACCAGAAGCCAAAGGAAAATCGAAAGCCGAGGTCGCCTTCAGCACGGCTGCTGTATTTGATAAAGTGTATTGAGTATGACAGTGTTGTCACACAATTCATTAGTAAAATCTCGTATTCCAAACATCAAGAGATTCCTTTCCCTCCAGCGGTTCGGAGCGATAAAATGGCATTTGCGGTGAACTTTTCCATGTAGGTGGGACTCAATACCATTAATCAAACGATTGAAAACAGAAAAACCGGGGTGGGGAGAAGAAATCTGTTAACTAAAGGTCACTAGCCCAGTTCACTTCTACGGGAATAGGAAATTGCCTAGGGCGGAGGGGAGAAGGCTTGCGCGTTGGAGGACAAGAGAACAAACGGTTCCCGGAAACGCGTGGTCGTTCCCAGTTTCGCCCGGCGAGCCCTTTATTATCTAAAGAGACTGCAAACCCAGTAACAGAATAGGAGACCTTGCAGGGGGAAAAGAGGGATAACGCTCAAGGCGATCAGATCTTCACCGCACCTCAACAGTCCCCAAACAGGTGCACGCCCAGAACCCCTTTAACCTCAGTCATAAATCTATTAACATATAACTAAGGCCATTGTCCTTAACCTTACTAAAAATCTGCATAACCCAAAATGCACTGAGAATGAGCATTTCCACACACAACCCGAGGACACTCACTTTTAAAATATCAGTAGCCCGTGGGGTATTGGAAGAGTTGCAGGACAGAAGCGCAACAAGTTCGGGAAGCAGAAATTGCTGCACGAATTTTTCTCTGCCCAAGTTTCTCGCGACGCGCAAGCGCGGCTCTATATGGGGCAGGGAGAGCTTAAAAAGCATCCTCGCCCGGGAACCACAAGCTCAGGAAGAGTGCCAGGACGCAGATCCGCTAGCTCTCGGTGAGAACTGGGACCGGAGAGGATGGAAGCGCCGTCCGAGAAGGAGGGAGTCACTTAGGTATTTGAATTAGAGATGAGCTGTGAGGGGTAGGATGTGAGCGGAAGGTTAGTGAGGAACAGCCCGCGAGTCTGTCCTGGCACTGAACCTTTTAAGGATCAGGTTGTGATTCTGCCTGAATCCCTGCAGAGCAGAAGGCCCCAGACACCTGGTCCCTTACCGCTGCCAGCTGAATTGCTTAAGGAAGGGCAAAGAGTCCCGGTGGGGAGACCACGAAACCCGGAAACAGATCTGGGGGCAGGTGGCTAAGAAATGAGAGAGAAGGGGTTGTGCATTTGCGGCGGAGAAAAACCTTCCCCCATCGAATTAGAGAGCCGAAAGCCCAAGTTCAGAGAGACGGCCACGCTGTGGGGGGATCCCCGCAGCTTGAAGACGTGGGGCGCGGGAATGAACGAACCCAGGCGCTCACTCGCTCGCGGCAATTTACAGGGCTGGGGCGGGGAGGGGCGTGCGGTCCAGTCCCGGGCGGCGCTGGCTCCGCACCCGCTGAGGGGTTGACAGGTGGGTTTTGTTGGTCTTCCAGCAGCTGATCTCCACCGCCCGCTGCAAGATCGGAGTCCCAGTCTTCCCGTTCGGGAGAAACGCGCGTCTGGCGGGGCAGTGTCCTCTCCCGCCTCCCCTTCCCAGCTTGACGACTCAGAGCACTTGCGGCCCGGAATTGAGCTCCCCCTCGTCCCCAATGTCCACCTCGTCCTCTGGCTCGGTCAGCACGAAAGGGCCGGCGGGCAGGCTCAGCCGAGCGTCGGCGGCTGCAGCCTCTGGACCACGGGGACTACCCTCAGGGCTCTCAGGCCCGTCTGGAGCTTTGGGCTCGTCTTGACTTTTCCTCAGCTGCTTTTTATGCTTCATCCGCCGATTCTGGAACCACGTTTTCACCTGATTTCGGAGCGACAGAAACAAAATCGTGTCATTCTTCCAAACCCACACTAATCTGAGCGACTGCTGGGGGTTAGGAAAACCGACAGCAATCCATTGACGAATTACCAAGAACTGTGGCCGCCTCACTAGGGTTAACTACTAAATAAAGTGCTCACAAATTATGGTTTTAGGTTGAATGAGAATCAAACGTCCTATGGCTCCCAGAACTTATTGTCCGAAAATAATGATGAGGATTCAAATGTTGTGGTTAGTGATTATCAATACTGTTATTAATCAGAATTACTAATAGTAAGTGCTGTGTAGACGATTCTCTTGTAAATTCAATTTGTGTTCCTTTGATTGAGATATCTAAATACCTGGTCCAGCAAAACACCTGGACAGAAAGATGAGAACTGAACTTGCTAGTTTTCACGGAAAGAAATCATACCCAGACCTGACAGATCTGATGATTTCACAGCAAGTTCCATTTCCGGATATATATGAGAGAGGGGGACTAGAGGAAAGAGTTTGGGGCCTGCAGGTGAAAATCCCCTGGAGCTAAATGAAAACAATTATTCCACCCAGGACAAGGGAATAGAAAGAAAGGGCTTAAACTACAGTGTGTGTTGGGGCTTGGGTGGGGCTGCGTGTGAAGACTGGCTGCTGCGATACAGATTGAAATAAGAAGGGGAAAAAATCTCCTTGTATGAGTTTCTCCAGACAAGAAACCATCTAGTTTATCACCCGAGGAGATTTTTCTTCACGTAGAGACGCACTGGAGTAACTTTGTTTCGGAAAGTCTAGAGTGAAGTTGGGGTATCTGTGTTTTTAGTAATGATCTTGGAAAAATGAAAGCCTAGAAAAATGGGGAACGGGCTCATTACCACTCGAAGAGTTCCTCAATGGGTCCTGAAGAGTTAAGAGTTAAGGGGAGAGAGTAGTGAAGCAGAGATCAAGGACTCCCCTTCCTCCGGCCCACCTGCGTCTCCGATAGGCTGAGGGCAGTGGCCAGTTCCACCCGCTCTGGCGTGGACAGGTAGCGCTGGATCTCGAACCTCTTCTCCAAACCCGAGAGCTGTGAGTCAGAAAAAACTGTACGAGCTTTGCGGCGGCGGCAGTGTTTCCCAGGCAGCTCCGCGTGCTGGGGGTGCGGGAACAGCGCGGGAACCGGCACCCCTGCAGAGAGAAGAACAGCCAGGTAGCTAAGACCAGATCACCAGGAAGCAACCTCCGTTCTCCTCCACTCCCCACCTCTAGTGCCCAGCGCTTCCCTTGGCCTCTGGCCTCCACCAGTCCAGTCTCCTGCTTGTCCCAAAGCTCCTGGTGCCCTTTTCACAAGAATTCAAGATGGGGGTGGGAGTGGGGAAGTGAAAAATAGCGCTTAGAGATCTTTTTCTAGAAGGCCATCTAGAAATACAAATAATAAACAGCAACTAAAATGGAAAATAACACGACAAAACAGATCTGGAAATCTTTTTTAAATGTCTCTTTGAAGTGAGACTTCTGTCGGGTCTACCTGCACCTAGTGGTCTGTTGCACCTGAAAAAGTTTTCTTGAAAACATCAGATGGTTCTGGGAAATGTCCACTTGTACCCACCCAAATCACTGATAACACTTAGTGCTGTGTAAAGAAGCTAGTGTGAAAAGGAAAGGTATGATCTTGCCTCCTGAATTCAGTAAATTAAAAAAAAATCTCTTTCCCAAGTGCCCCCACCCTCCTGCAACCAAAGAGAGCAAAACTCTTATCCAGAGAAGCTCAGAAACCCTCCTTTCACATTTCCTTGTCAGTTTTGCAGTTACAACCTTACTCTCTAATCTGGTCCTTGTTCTTTCTTTCTGACTCCAAAGTAAGCAAAGCGGAAGGACAGAGCACTTTTCCTTGCTCGGTCAGGGGAGACTTCTCTTGTCTTTTCTGATCCTCCCAGGCCTTACAGTGTGAGAGATGAACTAAGCAGACAGAAGCTGCTGCAGATACCAAATATCTGCCAATCCCCGAAGGGGTGGAGGAACTAACACACAAAGCAAACAGGTCCAGTACCACAGGCATTGGCCATTGCTACATGGGGGCAACAACAGCATAGCTGACAGGAGACTGATGCCACTCAGATGGTGAAACAAATAGAGGATGTGGACCTCAAGATGAATTTTAGATTCTTCTCTCCAACACAGTGTCTGAGAGTCAGCTTCACACTTTTCTCTTTTGTCCTGGATACTAGTGCCCACATAGATTGTCTCCTGTCTTTTCCCAGCTCTTGCCCTGACTAGATTGTTTCCACTGCTGTACTCAGCATCTGGACTAAACAAATTATTCTGGCTGGAATGAAAATTCTAGAAAAGAAAGCCTTGGATGTGTCCTTTCAGAGAAAGACAGGGTGCATCGGTAGATATTTCCCCAAATCTTCTTGTGCCAACCACATTTTGCTAATCCCTACCCTTACCAAGTTGCAGAAATCAAAATACTTTGCTAGCACCCGGCTCCAACGACTCTGGCATCTGAGGCAGGGGAGGACTGCCTAGCTTAAGATCCTAAATTAAATGCTAAAACATTAAGAGTGAAGAGAGTTAAGGAAATTCATGTCTCTTCCTTTGTTTCTTATCCTTTCTGCCCTTATTCTGGACAGTCCAACCCCTTTTCCCTCAGACTATCCCAACCCTCATTCACTTCTATATCCTCTGAAGGATCTGCCAATGTTCCGCGCCTGGAAGAAGAAAGCTGGCCAAGTGGAAAGTTTCCGGCTTCGGAGCTGGAAAGTTGAGTTTAGTTCCATGGGAGGGGACTGTCAAGGGTCTCCTGGAGCCAGGAGAGGTGAAGAATTGGAATAGAGACATGGGCCAAAGTAGCCAGGAAGATCACCAGTGGAACTGAGCACTGCCCTCCAGTAATATGTCAAACTCATTCACCTCTAGCTGCCTCTTGACCAGATGTATCTCCATTATAAAAAGTGTAGAGAGACCACAAATTATCCCCATGGGTTGGTATGCTTCAAGGGAGCTCTGCGTGCTCTCAGCCAAGTCCCCAACCCTCTATTGTTACTGATAGCGGGGTAGGGGGTGGACCAAGCCAGGCCAACCCAGAGCTGGCCTTTCCTTAGCTCTATCACAGGCTTAGGGACTGTGCTAGAAGGCCTGCTCTCTTGCTCCCTGCACATTAAGGCCCCTGCTACTTACCGGAGGTGGTAAGGAAATAAGGATGGTGGTGGTCTCCCTTATGCAGAGGGTGATGGGCGTGAGGAGCCAGGAGGGTAGGTGTGGGCATGAGGGGGTAGCCATAGTCTAGTAGAGGCACCCGGGAAGCCAAAGAGCTGGCAAAATGGTCAGGGGCCACCTCCCTCAGCGGCTTGGGCTTGTGCAGCAGGATGTCCTCGATGAAGAAGGATGTGGGCCTCTGAGAAGACGCCGGGTGTAGAGGAGAGGTGAAGTTGAGATTCATCTTGAGCGCGGAGCGCCTGCCACAGGGCGAAGGCCGGGGATAAAGTGTGTGAAGCAGGCAGTGTCTCAGCAAGCCTGGTGGAGATCCGACAACCCTTCTCCGAGACTCAGATCTCCACTGCTCTCTTCTCGGCCTGGACTATCCCGGGCACTGGAAAGGCGAGAAGACAAGATCCTGGGTAGGTTGGGTCTATGTGCTGGAGAATTGGCAGCTTCGAGAGGGGAGCCGGGAGAGCCAATGGCGAGGCTGCCGGAGGCAGAGGGGAGGGTGAGGTGGGCTTGGGGCGGGGCGGGGATCTGTCCGCGGTGCTGAATACGCCTGGCTGAGCCTGGCGAGAGTGGAGCCTTCTGGGTTCGGGTTCCTAGGAGGCTTCTGGACCTCAATTTCTGCCCCAGCCCCCCATGCACATACATCGCAAGAGCTGCTTTTTTCCCAGTCGTCTTTTAGAGAAAAACTAAAAGAAAAAAGTCTCTGTTGTCCAACAAACTCCTCCCACCTTAGAGAAGAGACATTAAAAGAACCCCATAGCAATAAAGCACTTATTCAAGGCATTTGGGCCTAGAGTTTTAAGAGATTCAATAATAGATGGCAAAAGGAGAAGGGGAGAAGTAAAGAGAAAATTGTCCACTATTTTAAGTAGCTAGACTCATCTCAAATTGATAGGAGAGATGACTGGATTATTGAGATAAGTAAAAATGATCTTAACATTCTTGACCTCACTTATAGGGAGTGGGTGAGAGAAAAATCTACGTCTAGATTATTCAAGTGATTTGGTCAGTTTAAAAATGTCCAAAGCCTCCCTTTAATGCCATCCTCCACGTTCCCTGAAATTTCCATTACTTCCTCCTCATTTCACTCATATAGTTTGCTGCTTCTGCTGTTACAGTCCTTTCAACCCTAGCCCCTCAAATAATTATACAGGGTTCCCCCCCCCTTTTCCTTTCCCTAGCCTCTTTCCTTTCCCCTCCTTCCCAATCTTTTTCCCCTTGTCTTTTTCCAATCTGTCACATTTATTTCCCAGAAGTCAATTTGCCAAAATTAAGGTGATCATCCACAACACAGCAGGGGTAATTTTGGCTCACATCTCCAAAAATTGCTCTAATTATTGATGTTAAACTCAGGGAAATTAAAAGAAGGCACTTCTCTTCCATCTCCCCATTTTTAAGCTCTAATTTATTGAAATCTAGTCGTCATCACAATTCCAATCACTACTGCTAATAGCAAAAGTGTTTTAATAGAGACTGAGTCCTCACAACCCATGCTATTAGATAATTAGAGGAGGCGTTAGAAAGCCAAGTGCTAATCCTTAGGTGCATGGATAGGATTTCCATCTGATCTAGCAGGTAGAACAAATTAATTACCAGAATCAATTAGGCCCCAAACTACAGTGCTCCAGGAAGTGGAAGCATCCTATTCCATACAGATGAACTGGTAAATGGTAAATAGATAAGGAGGGTACAAGGAAGGAGGAAGCACGGTGGGGGAAACTTTAAAATAAGATCTTGACAAGAGGCATCTAAATGAAGACAGAACACTGTCCTGGAGTCTGAAATGTGTGGGGTTTTGTTGTTGATTGGTTTCATTTTTTTAAGTTTATAATGGTAAGAACTGAGGAAAGGAGAGCAGGTGACCATGGAAAGTAAGTCAGCTGACTTTTCAAAAAGTTGTTCTCTAGCCATTATTGCTGGTCCAGTCATCCTTTATTGGGCTGGAGGGAGACTAAGAAGGTGGAAACTGGTAAAAGACCACCACCATCCAAAGCAGCTGATTAGATCCGTTTCTAGCAAGTGTATGTCTCCCCATACGCTAACGGCTGAGAGGCTTTTGAGGGCCAGGTGGATGTACAACCAGACTTTGGCCTGCGCCTGCACCCTTTACTTGAGAGCACAGGTTTGCAACTAGCCTGGGGGCGGGATTACAGTTTTTTTCAGGGCGGAGTCTAACTTCTGCTACAGAGGCAGACGAAAGATTACTGACTGTCCCTTTCGGAGCAGGAGCAGTATAAACGTCTTTGGGTGCCTGTCTTCAAGCCAAGTCACTGCAAATCCCTCTTACACATCTGCCATCCCCTTGTTCAAAACATCGCAGGAGGGACAGGGAGAGGCGGACTGCCTCCATGGCCTTCACTCTCCCTTTATTTTGTATCTCTAAACTCAGCACTCCGCTCTTCCCTCAAAGCTAAGGCTATAGCCCCAGGCCTCGCTCCTTGGCTGCGAAGCCCAAAGTGGTGGCAAAAGGGGAGGCATACTGGGTTCTCCCTTCTCTAGTGTTCCCTTGCCGGAGCTAGCCTTTCCGAGAGCCGAGCTGCCGAGGGAAAAAGACTTGAGATTTTCCCCCAGCAACCCAGCTGCCCCACATTTGCCTAAGCCCCCAGTAGGAACCTAAGAAGTGAGAAACAGGGAGGAAACTGGTTCGCTACAGAAAGAGGCAGGACCTCGCGATCGCCAGTGTTTTCTTTCCCTTTTCCCTTTCAGCAACTCTGGGGAACAAAGCTGCGAGCCGGAGAGAGTACCAGCACCGCCGCCAGGACCGAAGCAGACCCCTGCGGGGCTCGGAGGCGGAACCCGCATCCGTAGTGCAGGCGCGGGTGGGGATTCTACCGTCGTCTCTTTATCCCTGAGGGAGAGAGACCGCTTTTGCCTACGGTGCCCGGCTAACACAGCCGGCACTTGGAGCTTGAGCCGTGCGCGCCAATGGGCGGGTATGCAGAAGGTTCGTCCTCAAGATTCTAGTCCCGTCCTGACCTCACGTTCCTTTTAGAGCCAGATCCAGGGAAATTGCATGGCGGGTTCGGAACGGCAGAAAGTTTCTCCGCAGTGGCAGGGCTCCAGGTCAGAACCGCGGGGGGGAAAATGCTAGAGTTATTAAAACCAGCCCAGACTTCAGCGCACAGCTCTGGTCTGGCCTGTCCTCCTCCCGCCAAGAGGAGAAGGCGGGCGCCGGGGTCTCCAGCCCCTCTCTTTTATTCCTACGGTAGGAGGGAGAAGCCTTGCAAAGCCAGCGATTGATGTTGGAAGCATCGCTCCCGCCCCCTCGCTCCGTGCTCTCGCTACCCCCAACCCGCGTAGGCCCTGGGACAGCCCGAGGATGGGGGATTCAGTGTTATATTTTAGGGAGTAGAGATTGTCTGCAGCAGAAAAAGGGAGCAGAGAAGCTATTTCCCCTTTAAAAACAGAGATGTTTCATTGCCTGGTTTGTCTCTGAAGTCTAGGCCAATTGCTGGCCACTAAAGATAATATGACCCATATAGGTTATTTTAAATTTTCTGCTTATCAAATTTAAAAAGCAGTATGTCATATTTTAAAAGGCGAAAGAAACAGATGAGACATTAATGTATTTCATTTAATCCCGATATACAAAATATTATTATTCAACATGTAATCAATATAAATATTATTAGCATTCCTTTTTTCATATTAAATTCTCAAAATTCCAGTGTATATACTCTACTCACACTAGCCATATTTCCAGTGCTCAATAGCCACAGCGTGCTCATGGCTACTGTACTGTACAGCACATGTGTAGTTAATTGCGATAGTCTCTGTTACTCCTTTCAAATATAGACAGACACACAGAGAAATGGAAAGCAGCTGCTGAAACCAGTCTAGCACATTCTCAATCTTACCCTCATCCATCCATTTTATTCCATTGCTCTGAGCATTCATTGAGCACCTACTGTATGTGATGCTCCTTGCCACATACCTTCCCAAGCTTTCTTTAAGAGTCTGGAGGTTAGATAGACTCACCCACATTGCATTTTTCAAAATTTTCATTTGACAAAAATCACCCAAGACCAGCAGGCTCTAATCATCTTTAAGGCGGACACATGCAGCCAGATACTGCACACTGCCCAGAGTAAAATAAATAAATAAATAAAAATAAAGATCAAATGAATTTCCTCCCCTCCCCACCTGAAAGATCTGATGGCACTCATGCTTGTGGTTTCAGCTGAAGAATTATTAATTTAAAGAGAAAAAAGACATGCTTTTCAGGGAACTAATAATTAAACAGTCCCTTTCTCTTTCATGTCAGTCTCAGCTAAAACTGTCATCTAAGCTGGGACTTAGTTTCCCGAAAAGATAACCTTATTGATGATCAAAGGAAGAGACTGGTTCCATTAGCCAAGTTGCCTATACCATGGCCTTCAAAATAAAGGGGGAAGTGTATTTTAGAAGGATCTGAGTAACACACTTTACTCATAACATTTTGTATTATATTGCTTGTTGTCTGTTTCAACTTGCCTTCTATCTGAGTACTTTATTTTAAGCACTACCAAAGTGGATGACATGTCTACAAAAAGAACAGGAGTTGCTGACTGCTTCTAGCAAATGCATCTTCAAAAATAATGCTTTTGCACTGGAAATTAGGATGTGAGCCCACAGGAGAACACATTCAAGGCTTGATATTCAAACCATAGTGTTACTAATGTAAAAAGGAGTAAATCCACCCAATTTTCTCATGCAGGACTGGGTCAATGTGTACAACTAAAAACTTTCATTTCATTTCTCTCTTGATGTTCTATATGCTGCCTTTGTCATCTCAATTCAAAACATGCTTCATAAAGTGATAGAAAAGAAGACGTGGAATAGAAAATTAAAAGTTTGAAATATGGAAGATCCTGTCTGAAAGATATATGATGGAATGACGATGGTCTTTATTGGGTCTCTTATTAGCATTACACTATTTTCCCCATAGGATCCTAAAAGAGTAGCCAGATATTTTACTAGGAAAAATAAGTAAAAAAGCTAACAGAATGCCTTTTAAATGTCCTTTTCTTCCACTCTAAACCATCTAAATTCTTTGATTAGACTTGACACAATAAACTTCAAATAATAATACCAAACTAATATGCGTAGTTTTGAAAATAAAAGTGTTTGAATTGCCCTTTAATTTTTTTTCTATATGTTTATTTATGTTTATGCTACATATTTATATTTGTTTATTATTATATACTGTGAGTTTCAAGTGCTAGAGATTCTAAGTCCCTTTCAAACTCTATTACGGAATACAAAGGTGAATTTACAGGCATTCCCCAAAAGGACTTTGTGCATGAGTCTAAATGTTTGCTGGATTTTTGTTAGAAAGCTGAGCTGTTTATATTTTTTGTTTGAAGATACTGTTAATAAAGCAAAATTTATTTTTTAAAAATCCCATTGTAAATGCAATGA